AGGGGAGTGGGAACCAGCAAGGGCCTTTGGTGTTGCCCTGTACATCAGTGCAGCGAGCATCAGGACAGCTCAGTGTATCACCCATTACAGAGTGGCCTCAGCCCGGCTGTGGCCTCACGACAAGGAAGGCTGAGTCTTTGTAGACCTTATTGAAAAAATGCAAGACCAGCACATTTAGTTCAGAGAGACTGCCAAGCTTTTTCCAGCCAGTTTGGGAGCTTGAGTCCCTCCAAGGGACCACGTTATCTGCCTGTTTCATCACGCTTGGCTTCTGCCAGCAGAGATGTACGACCACTTCAGGTGATGCTCATGACTATGGACACCCAGACCAGTGCAAGGGGGACCTCCAGGTCCAGCTGCACAGCTCTAGCTCAAAGAGCAGCTGGTCAGGGCAATGTTGCAGATGTTGACCCCAAAAGCATAGGGGTATGATCCTGCCTGCAAATCAAACACCAGTCATGGTGCTCAACCAGCTCCCAGCTCTGCTACTGCCATGCCTGGGCTGGGAGCAGGCAGGCAAATGAAGGTGGAAGCCTAAGGCGCGTTGTTTCTTACAGCAAACATTTAAAAGCAGACTAAGACTAGAAAATCCCTGTCTTTTGGTAATGAATCCCCCGTGTAACAGTCTTAACACCCAGAAACGACATGCCTGTGGAATTCCTGAGATTGTTGCAAACTGAACCCTTTTTTCCCCACCCTGAAATTTCACAGCAATTTACCTCTCCAAGCCATCAGGGATCACTGTTTGGAGGCACCGAGGGGGATCTTCTATCCCTTGGCTGCTTTCTGCCGCCTGCGGTGCTATTTTGGAAATTCTCTCATTTACTGGGTGGTTCAACTGAGTACAACTGCTCCTTTGGCTAAAATCATCCCCTGCCTGTCATCCGGTAATTAGAAAGTGCCAAAAAGCCAGTGGTGCTTAAGGAGGCTCTGGGATAACCAAGGCAGCTTTTTCTTTTGTGGGTAAAGGACTAGGCTTTGGAGGCTGTAGGCTTTTCCACTGAAATCAGATTTTGGTTTAAAAAGTGGGGGAAGGTAACACTGAGTGAAAAATGACACCTAGAAGCACAGCAGCATTACAAGAAGGGCAATGCTGCAACCGCAACGAGGGGGGGTGAGAAAAGCAAATGCCTTCGTTGGAAACGCCACAGAGGGGGAAAGCAAAGATAATTTTGAGGCAGGGGAAACAAAAGAACTTTTAAAGCCTGTCCCTCTGGGTTTGCCCAGTTCTTACTGGTGCTGCCATTAGAGGTAGTTCATGACTCTCACAGTTCAGCTGGAGTAAGGCTGAGGACCTCATGAAGAAACCAGAAGTGAACTCCTGCTGCTGGGAGGACATCTTTGTGTATGGCAACGCACCGAATTGCACCTCACCAGCCGCTCGTCCTGCAGCTGACAGGGCCCACATGTCCCTCTTCCAGCAGGTCACTGGGATGTCCTGCAGAGCCAGGGTGTCTGTGGTACAGGAAAGCTCCTTCTCCAAGTGCCACCCTTTCCTGTTTGCATTGCAAACTGAGCATTTCCTTGTCTGAAAATGGCCTCACAGCCTCAGTGTCTGGCATGTTGTTTCCTGTGGAAATTATTGTGACCACGTCACCTGTGCAGGCTTGTTGGGGTCCCTCTCCGTGAAGCGCAACCTGAGGGCCAATTTCAGGCCAACCTGATGAATGAAGATTTTTGAAGATCTTGAAGTTGGGCAGTGGTGGAGCAAAGAGACTCTGCTTAGGTACCGTCTTATCCTTTTAGACTCTATGAAGGCATTGTTTTTTCTCCCTAAGTGTTTCCATAAGCCTCTCAGACAGCCACCCTGCAGGTCTGCTGCTCTGTTCAGCCTCAACCACCCTTCCTTACCTTCCCTAGGCCAGCTGTAATCAGCCCAAATGCAGCCCACGCGCCAAAGCAAGGACTGTTGCAGAGTGTCATTACTCAGCTCTGGCTGTGTGTTCGTGGGAGAGGTGGCCTTTTGGGAAGCACCCTGTGCTCCTGCAGAGCCACTGCTTCAGCAGTGCTGGTGCAGAGCCTCCTGTGCTCGCTATCCTGGAGGCGGGACTAGCAGGTCTTCTTCCCCAAACACCTTATCTTATCCAGAGAAAAGGAAAGCAGGCAGAAAGAGAGCGTTCTGCAGATTGCCTGGTCTGGTTGAAACGCCCTGTTCCCCTGATAAGCCTGCAAGGTTGATAGGGGAGCATGCATGATGCTGTCCTGCTGGGCTTCCGGTGGAGAACACAAGCAGCAGCTTGGGCATCATCCTCCAGCCCTGCTCTAATAGGAGTTGTCCCGGTTCTTTGGTATTTTCCCTAAATGTGCCTGGAGTGCTGGGGTTAGCAACCAACTGTGCTCCCCGCCTCTCAGCTGGAGAAGAAACCCTAGCAGCTCCCTTCCCTTCTCCACAGGGCTGGGGGGAAGGAAGAGGGATGCGATGGGAGGGTCTGAGCACTGGGGCCGCTGGAGGAAGGCTGCAGCAGGGCTCACAGGAACCCGTGGTGCTTTCCCAACTGCTCACTCCCATCAGCATCCTCAGGGTACGGCACCAGAGAGAGGTGACCTATGCAGACTTGTCACCCCTCTGTCCCCTCTGCTCTGGGACGCTGAGGGAGGAGCAGGACATCAGATGCCACGAGCCACCAGGTACGAAAGCCCACAAGCCCTGCACACACACAGTCTCCATCGGGAAACAAGTGGCAGGAACACCTCAGGGGGGCGGCTGGGGCCAGTCCCTGCCATGCTGCGCGCACAGGGAAATTATAGGGGCTGTAAAAAACACTAATAGCAGGGTAGAGCACAGCAGCCTAGCGTAACGATTGCCTGCTGCAAGGGACAGTTAGACACATTTCTTAAAGCCTGGGGAAGGAATTGGGAGGGGAAGAGCCCCCAACCTGGACATCACTGCTCCGGTGGATGGAGACCAGCTCCACGCAGGTTTTGTGAAGGGTCGCTCCTCTCCGCTCTTGGCAGCGTGTATTCCCACCACACTCTGCAGCCAGCTCGGGGTGACCACAGCTGGCCACTGCAGCCGATTTCCACCCAAAGCTGCAACATCATTTTTGCAGCAGTCAAGAGCTTAAAGCAGCCCCCAGCCCCTCCACCCGCACTGAATGGTGAAGGGAAGGCCTGGGAGACTGCAGCCGTACAGATGGGTGCTGAGACCTCAGGTATCTGCATGAACCTCCTGGCTGCTTGTGTGTAGAAACCTTTCCTTGTCTGGCTCAGAGATAAGCAGGCTTTAACAAAACAGATGGTTCAGCA